TGAATATTATCAGTAGTAATTCTATTTAATATATTAGAATTATTATAACAATATTATATATTATTATACGGTATTAGTATATTTTATGTCATCATATTATTATATTATTAATATATACTATATATTAATATATATATTAATATATATAATATATAATATATAAATATAATATATATTGTAATATAGTATATAATATAATATAATAGAAGGCTTTCATGGCCGGAATCACTCAGTTCATCACATGGCCATATAGCCCGAAAAAACCCACAAGAACTGTATAATATAATATATTGTATGTACATATAACTTGTCAGCCGCTCAGTCCCATATTATATATATATAGTATATAATAATAATAATAAACTATATAATATATATTGTAATATAGTATATAATATAATAATATAATATATTGTATGTACATATAAGTTGTCAGCCGCTCAGTCCCATTATATTAATAATAATAATAATAAACTATAATATATATATTGTAATATAGTATATAATATAATAATATAATATATTGTGTGTACATATAACTTTTCAGCCACTCTGAGTCCCCTTCGGGGTGAGAAGGCCGGGATCAATAAACAGTATGTCAATGAATGGTCCATGCAGGTGTGTCTCTTCCAGGCCCCTACCTGTCTGTCTCAGGCCCAAGGAAGCCTGGCCTCTCTCTCTCTCTACCTCCCTCTAGAGGCGAAGCGAGGCATGGCGCGCCGGTCTCTGGGCGGCGGCGTCGTCTCGCCCAATTCCCTTTGCCTCTCCTTTGTTTGCCGCGTGGGCCAATCAGCGCGCGTCACCCTCCGTGCCCTCTCCTCATTGGCTGAGCGGGGCTTGCCCTATGCGAGGATGGAGACGTGGCAGGCCTTTGTGGCGGGGCCTCCCCCTCTGGAGATGGAACGCGCCAATCGCCGCCGCTGAGGGAGAGCGCCCCGCCCGGATTGGGGCCGTACCATTGCTGAGGGGAGGGGGGGTGAGGAAAGGAAGGCAGAGAAGGGGGCGGATGTGGCCGGGCGGGCGCTGCCGGGGCTGCGAGCGGAAGAAGATGAAGCTGGTGGCGGCGGCGGCGCTGCTGGGCCTCGGAGGCTCCCTCCTGCTCCTGCTCTTCCCCGCGGCCCACGCCGAGGAGCGCAAGAAGGGGCCCAAGGTCACCGCCAAGGTGAGCAGACCAAGGCTTCGGACCCGCTTCCCTCAGGACAGAAATGGGGCGCGGGCCCTTTAAGAGCGCCAGGCTCTTAAAGGGGACACTCCTCGCAGGCCAAGCACAACAGGACATCCATTTATACACAGAGATATATCTCTATGTATAATGTATTTGGGGTCGCTGTGAGTTTTCCAGGCTGCCAGGCCATGTTCCAGAAGCATTCTCTCCTGACGTTTCGCCTGCATCTTTGGCAGGCATCCTCTGAGGTTGGGAGGTCTGTTGGAAACTAGGAAATTTGGGTTTATTTATCTCTGGAATGATGTCCAGGGTGCTTGAGGCAAATTTGAATGTTGCAAATGCCCACCTTGGTTAGCATTGAATAGCCTTGCAGCTTCAAAGCCTTCCTGCTTCCTGACTGGGGGAATCCTTTGTTGGGAGGCGATTTTCTTGTCTGGAATTCCCCTGTTTTTGAACAAATTTTGCAAATGGCCACCTCGATTAGCATTGAATAGCCTTGCAGCTTCAAAGCCTGGCTACTTCCTGCCTGGGGGAATCCTTTGTTGGGAGGTGTCAGCTGGCCCTGATTGTTTCTCGTCTGGAATTCCCCTGTTTTTGAGTAAATGTTGCAAATGGCCACCTTGATTAGTATTGAATGCCATTTCAGCTTCAAAGCCCGGCTGCTTTCTGCCTGGAGGAATCCTTCTTACATCAACTGGCCCTGATTGTTTCTTGTCTGGAATTCCTCAGTTTTTGAGTAAATGTTGCAAATGGCCACCTTGATTAGCATTTAACGGCATTTCAGCTTCAAAGCCTGGCTGCTTCCTGCCTGGGGGGAATCCTTTGTTGGGAGGCGATTTGCTGACCCTGATTGTTTTTCATCTGGAATTCCTCTGATTTTGAACAAATTTCCCCTGCATTTTGGGTGTTAGAGTTTTTTAAAATACTGGTAGCCAGATTTTGTTCATTTTCATGGTTTCTGCCAGTATTCTTAAAAAAAAAACCCCTAGAATCAGGACAGTAAATAAAGAACAACACTAAAAAAAGAGAGGAATTCTAGACAGGAAACAATCAGGGCCAGCTAACACCTCTCAACAAAGGAGTTCATTTATTGTTCCCAAACAGGAAGCAGCCAGGCTTTGAAGCTGCAAGGCTATTCTATGATAATCAAGCTTGCCAATTGCAAAATTCCTACTTGCCTCAAGCAGACAAGAGTTATTTCTCCCACCCTGGACATTACTCCACAGATTTATACGTAAACCCCACTTGTCTAGTTTCCAGCAGACCTCAACCTCTGAGGATGCCTGCCATAGATGCAGGTGAAACGTCAGGAAAGAGTGCTTCTGGAACATGGCCCATAGCCAGGATTTTGATTTGCGTGGGGGGGCTGACCTTTTGTATTGTTACCCCAATACCCCCATGCATATGGGATATATTGAGCATGGTGATCAGATCATGATATGAATCAACATAACAGTTTAAATAATGTACCAGTAAGGCCTTCTCGCGGACCACCATGAGAATTCTGGGTGGTCAACCCCCCCTTCAAGAATACATTGTACATATCTTGATTTAATTTGATTAACAAGTAAATATAATACATGTATGCATGTATAAATCTATTCATAAATGTACAAATGTGTCTTTATTTTATTTTATTCTATTAAATACACATATTTAAGAATAAATACACAATTTATTTAATCACGATCCCACATTCCACATTAAATTGTATTTCTAAGGAAGGAGCCCCTGCAAACTACAGAGTTGTGAACCTCGGTTTCTTTTCCCTTCTCTCTCTATTGGGATCTTTAATCCTGCTAAGAGCATATTTATGTTTGGGGGGGGGGGGCGGGATTGCAAATAATAGCAATAATCCATGATAATCAATTGTTTCAGGTATATGTTTTTGGAAGACTGTAGTCCCTGCAATGCATGTGCTAGGGAAGGGGCCATGATGGTTGTACATAAGTGGTTTTCAACCTGTGAGTCCCCCGATGTTTCGGCCTACAACTCCCAGAAATCCTAGTTTGCCAGCTGTTAAGATATCTGGGAGTTGAAGGCCCAAACATCTGGGGACACACAGGTTGAGAACCACTGTTCTATGTAATGTCTGCATGTGGTTCAAAATAGACCTGAACGGCTGCAAATTGGTTGGCATTGTGTGACTGCAAAAGAGGACTTAAAGATTAGAGCAAGGGTCCCCAAACTAAGGCTCGGGGGCCGGATGCAGCCCTCCAAGGTCATTTATTTCTCCCTCATTTCTCTCCGAAAAATCCTATCCGAGTTATATTTTACCTTGTTCACGTCAGCATATTTTCAATTTTAATCTATTACATTTGGCCCGGCCATTTTTAAAATTGTTTATGTCACTATTGATTGTTTTTTGTTTATGTGATTTATAGGATTTGTATTTTATTGATTGTTTATTGATGTTGTGTTTATTGATGTTTTGTTTAATGTACTTTGGGCTTGGCCTCATGTAAGCCGCACCGAGTCCCTTGGGAAGATGGTAGCGGGGTACAAATAAAGTTTATTTTTATTATTATTATTTACCCGGCCCTTGTGCAGGGTCAACGTAAGTCTGAAACTACTTGAAAGCACACAACAACAATCATAGAATCATAGAATCAAAGAGTTGGAAGAGACCTCATGGGCCATCCAGTCCAACCCCCTGCCAAGAAGCAGGAATATTGCATTCAAATCACCCCTGACAAATGGCCATCCAGCCTCTGCTTAAAAGCTTCCAAAGAAGGAGCCTCCACCACACTCCGGGGCAGAGAGTTCCACTGCTGAACGGCTCTCACAGTCAGGAAGTTCTTCCTAATGTTCAGATGGAATCTCCTCTCTTGTAGTTTGAAGCCATTGTTCCGCGTCCTAGTCTCCAAGGAAGCAGAAAACAAGCTTGCTCCCTGCTCCCTGTGGCTTCCTCTCAATCCTGTCTCATCAGCCAAAAGCAGGCCCACACATCCCACTAAAATACGAATAAGTTTATATTTGTTAAAATTGTTCTTCATTTTAATTGGTGTATTGTTTTAAAGTGTTTTTGCGCTACAAATAAGACGTGTGCAGTGTGCATAGGAATTACCGTAATGGGTTTTTTTCAAATTATAATCCAGCCCTCCAACAATTTAGGGCACTATAACCTGGCCCTCTGTTTAAAAAGTTAGAGGACCCCTGGATTAGAGATTAGTCTCACAACCACGTCAGTGGGAAATCCACTCACCAGGAGGATCCTCCCAGATAGTATTGGACTACAACCCCTAGCATCCCAAGACCAACCTTGCAAGTAGGATGAGCGGGGTTGCCATCCAGTTCACCTGCAAAGACATGTCGTCCTGCTCAGGGAAGGCTGGGATGTAGGAACAAAGCAGAGGCATATTTGAATGTTGCTCTGAGTCAGAGTTGTTTCCATGCTTCAGGATTACTGCCAGGTTACAGGTAACAGTTAACAGGTTACAGGTAACAAGTTAGGCTTAAAAGGCTTACCGGGCTCCTTTTTCCTTATCCCCTTTTTTGGCTTGGAAACTCAGCCGGTCAAGCAGAAATATGACAAATATGTGGCGCTCCAAATAATGTTGGTTTTGCAACTCTCATCATCTCTAACCATTGACTAATTTGCTGAGGAATCATGGATGTTGCAGTCCAGCAGCATTTGGAGGGCCACACACTTCTGTTTCCTGGCACCATCCCTGTTCTCGCTGCCATGGGGACGAAAGGGGAGTTGTAAAACTTGGATTCGACTCAGTGGTGCTGCTGCGGCTCCTTTGCTTGCTCCCAATCCTTTTCACAAAGCCGTTGCCGCAGCTTGATGTCAAAGCACGTGCTTTGCATTCAAAAAGGCCTAAAATCGATCTTTGGAATGGCTACTTAAAAGAGGGATCAGGTGGGACGTTGACTTGCGGCCTTGGAAAAAGCAGCTGTTAATTGCTGCAGGAAGCATTGGGCCAAATGGGCAATATCCCCCCAGGGTAGCTCCCTTGATTCCTCTTCTCCCCTAGCTTTAAATCTCAATCTATTGCGTTTATTTATATATTTAAAACAGAGAAAGCAGCTGTTTATTATGTTGCTTCCAAATTTGGTTCGTTTTTCTCTTTTTCAAGTCAAAAGGAGCCCATGGTGGCTCAATGGGTTAAACCCTTGTGCCGGCAAAACTGCTGACCGATAGGTGAGCGATTCAAATCTGGGGAGAACGGGTTGAGTTCCCTCTGTCAGCTCTAGAGGGAATCCTGGAGAGAAGAAAGCTTCCTTTCTGCTGCCCTGGAGACTAGGACACAGAACAATGGCCTCAAACTACAAGGAAGGAGATTCCACATGAACACGAGGAAGAATTTCCTGACTGTGAGAGCTGTTCAGCAGTGGAACTCTATGCCCTGGAGTGCAGTGGAGGCTCCTTCTTTGGATGGCCATCTGTTGGGGTTGCTCTGAATGAAAATTTCCTGCTTCTTGGCAGGGGGTTGTACAGGATGGCCCATGAGGTCTCTTCCAATTCTATGATTCTAGCCTCCCACAAGGATGGTAAAACATCTGAGCATCCCCTGGACAACGTCCTTGCAGACAGCCAGTTCTCTCACGCCAGAAGCCGCTTGCAGTTTCTCAAGTCACTCCTGACACGAAAAAAAAGTCAAAATTCAGTGCCAAACCCACCACTACTTCTTCCCATTCCAACATTTTACTGATTTAGATTATGGATCTTTAAATCAGTAAATCCATTTACTAATTTTTGAAATTTATCTATGGCTGCAGATTGTTGGGTGAGTGGACTTAACAAAAGACCCTCCCCATAAATGAACAGCAAACTTAGCAGCAGCAGCGTGACCCAGAACCAGTAGCACAAAGTGATAAAAACAACAAAAACACACAGGCCAATGTTATCTCTTCCTTTGGAGGCTTTTCGTTATAGCAAAATAATATGGTTGCACTATTTAAAACAAGGTTTCCATAACACAAACACATAGTAGCTTTACACACAGCAGCCTTCATTTTACTCACAAGGCTTCTCTCACACAGAGGTTTATCTCACGCTCCTTAGGACAACACACTGGAGCTTTACTCACAAGGCTTCTCTCACACAGAGGTTTATCTCACGCTCCTCAAGACAACACACTGGAGCTTTACTCACAAGGCTTCTCTCACACAGAGGTTTACCTCACACTCCTCAGAATGACACACTGGAGCTTTACTTACAAGGCTTCTCTCACATAGAGGTTTACCTTACACTCCTCAGAATGACACACTGGAGCTTTACTCACGAGGCTTCTCTCACATAGAGGTTTATCTCACACTCCTCAGGATGACACACTGGAGCTTTACTCACAAGGCTTCTCTCACACAGAGGTTYACCTCACACTCCTCAGGACGACACACTGGAGCTTTACTCACAAGGCTTCTCTCACACAGAGGTTTACYTCACACTCCTCAGGATGACACACTGGAGCTTTACTCACAAGGYTTCTCTCACATAGAGGTTTACCTCACACTCCTCAGGACAACACACTGGAGCTTTACTCACAAGGCTTCTCTCACATASAGGTTTACCTCACACTCCTCAGGACAACACACTGGAGCTGTACTCACAAGGCTTCTCTCACACAGAGGTTTACCTCACACTCCTCAGGACGACACACTGGAGCTTTACTCACAAGGCTTATCTCACACAGAGGTTTACCTCACACTCCTCAGGATGATACTATCTTTGGCCCACTGACTCTTAGCAGGCTTCGGCCTGCTTGCTATTTCAGTGCTTGACTCACACTTTTGTAATAAAAAATGCCTTGTTAATATTTAATATTTCTGACAGATCAGGATAGAATTGTAGTGAAATTGACTACGCAGTTTTATTTTGCTTATTTGCTCTGTATCACAGGATGTCAGAGTAGCTAATGGTTTGCAGGAAAACACAGCTCTAAAATAAACAATTTGATGGCTTGAAAGCTTCTGTCTGATTTCTAAAGTATAGGTTTTGTTGGAATTGTTATAACTTGCTAATGGTATTCAGGCTCTTCTCGGTCCAAATACAAAATTAAGTTCTTACAAGAAGAACTAAAAGGAGTTACTTTTTGGAGTGTAACTCCCAATTATTCCCCAGAAGAGGATGGGGGTTGTAGGAGCTAAAGCCCAAGCATGTTAATGTTTCCACTGCACTCAGCCTGCAATGCCTCTTGTTCCTGGTGTCTTCTCTAGGTATATTTTGACCTGCGGATTGGAGATGAAAACGTGGGGCGCGTCGTCTTCGGCCTCTTTGGAAAGACGGTTCCAAAAACCGTTGAGAATTTTGTTGCCTTAGCCACGGGAGAGGTGAGTTCTATCTTAAGTCCGGAACAATTCTAAATTATGGTAAAGAGAGGAGCTGGGTATGGAAAAATATCTTTTGAAGCTTTTTTGTTGTTGCTGTTCGATGTAGTCACATGCATTCAGGTCAAAAGGCATACCGTTTTTGGGTCCGTTTCCGTCTGATCCTTCATTTTGTTTACTGAAAGGGGAGGGGTGTTTTCTGTTTTATTTGGCAGAGATTTGACCCATTTTTAATTAGTTCTTAATTAGTTTTTCTTTTAATCATTACATGTAGACCGCCTGTGATTGTGCTTATTGTAATTTTATATTGTTATGTATTCACATGTTTTACCAGTATCACGTTGCGTTCATGGCCCAGCATTATTTCCAATTTTAACTCTACATTTGGCCTCCCACTGTTTTAATTATGTGTTCTTTTTTAATAATGTTGTGTATTTTATTGTCTATGTTTTTTAATTGCTTGTATTGATGTTTTATTGCTTGTATTGTTGTGTTTGGGCTCGGCCTCATGTAAGCCGCACCGAGTCCCTTGGGGAGATGGTAGCGGGGTACAAATAAAGTTAATAAATAAATAAATAAATAAATAATTACGATGTTGTTTATTGTTTGCGTTTTTGGTTTGCGTTTTCGGTTTTATTCTGTTGTAATTTGTTGTTTGGGCTTGGCCTCCTGTAAGCTACTCCAAGTCCCCTTCGAGGAGATGGTGGCAGGGTATAAATAAAGATGATGATGATGATGATGATGATGATGATGGTGATGATGATTATTGACTCAATCCTCAGCCATTTAAAGGCCTATCTGCATGAAACCTACCTCATTTCTGTGTACAAACCCACATGATCTCTTCGATCATCTGGAGAGACCCTGCTCATGCTCACGCCCCCTTCACAGGCGCGATTGGTGGGGACAAGGGAGAGGGCCTTTTTGGTGGTGGCCCCCCAACTCTGGAACTCACTTCCCAGAGACATCAGACATGCCCCAACTCTGGCAAACTTTAGGAGGAGCTTGAAAACGTGGTTGTTCCAGTGTGCCTTCCCAGAATAAGAAAAACTCTCAGCAATATGCCTTCAAAATTCACTTTACCACTGATTTAGGACTGACTGAGTTCCCTCATCTGTTTTTGAAAACCCTATACCAGTTATATCCTACCTTGATCATGCCCAGCGTTATTTTTTAAATTTTAAATTATTACATTTGGCCCGGCCATTGGTTTTTAAATGTTTGCGTGTTTCCGTTCTGTTGTCTATGTGATTTATATTAATTGTATTGCATTGATTGTTTTGTTATTGCTTTGTTATTGATGTACTGTGGGCTTGGCCTCATGTAAGCTGCACCAAGTCCCCTGGGGAGATGGTAGCGGGGTATAAATAAAGTTTTATTATTTTATTATTATTAGTAGTAGTAGTTGTAGACCCCATTTACAACTGCAGGTCTGCCACGTTTCAAAACAATTCACCAATCTACTGAATGTTTAGAATTATTTTAAGTTTTAAACATAACATTTTTAAAAATAAGTCAAAGTGCAAGACAGGGTTCTGGGAATTGTAGTTGCTGGTTGTGTCCCTTCTTGGCCAATCAGAGTATGGATACCACAAGGGTTTTTATTGGCTGGGAGACACACAGAGAGAAAAACTTCAACTCCCAGCCACAGACCCCCCTGCCTCAGGTATTTTGTGGACTTAACTCTTTACGAAAAGACCGTCTCTCTCTGAATTTGTTTCACTGGTCTTTTCATCTCTTTCTTCCTTATTCTATTTTTGAAAATTACACAAAAACAGCCATCCGAAAACTAGAAATCTTTTTGTTAACAGTGATTCGGGCCCAACTCTAGTTAGATCTATAACTTCCCACCAGATTCCTTGCATGGAAGAAGGTACCTCTTGCCAATGAATGAATTGAGGTGCTGTGATGTGAAATGGATCGGGATGGGTTATGGAGAAGTAGCATGCAGGCTATGATTTTGTGGTCCTCATAATATTATTCTTTATCTTTTTCGTTTCCAGAAAGGGTTTGGGTACAAAGGGAGCAAATTTCACCGTGTGATCAAGGATTTCATGATCCAAGGAGGAGATTTCACCCGGGGAGATGGAACAGGAGGTGAGACACCAGACCGCACTGCAAGGCAGTCTAAACTTTCCCTTGTTCTCCCTTATTGGCAGAATCTTTGGATGTCTTGTGCAGAAGTCGTGTGCTGCTCCAGCTGAGTTAGTTTTCTTTGTCAGAAATATCTGGCATTTTGACATTAGTCTTCTAGGGCCAGGTTGGCAGTTTGAAGCCTGGGTTGGGGTGAGCACCCGACCTTCAGCCCAGCTTACTGTCCACCTGTCGCAACTCAGGATAGATTCACCTTGCTCAAGACACCACCACACACCAAGGCTGTAGGTTTTGTAGTTTATTGAAGAAAAAGCAAAATCATAAACATAGAAATAAAGTTGCAAGAGTTCAATAGCCAAAACAGAGTCTTAAATGCAAAGACCATGTTTCCAAAATCCAAAGGCAAATAACATGAAGTATAATCCTTTAGCATTAGTTAAACAAGAATCCATGGCAGCATGACAAGGTCCCCAAAAACCATGATCAAAACCAAAGTCCCAAAGAGCTAAAAGCTTTCCTCAAAAGCCAAGGCAATTCCAGAGAAGTTAGCAGGGTGTAAGCAAAGTTGCACCGACAAAGGATTGACTTCAATCAGATCGTTAAATATGCCCTTTTTTTATTACGTGTACTATGTTTTATACTCTCTGCCATGTTATGCCAATAAAGGCTTATTGTATTGTTAAAATTGCAAACGGTCCTCCCTAATCAATTCTCCATCACCTTCAAGGCTGGATAACACATTATCCTGGGAGTGGTCACCCTGGGAACCGAGAGGCACTGAGCTCCCAGATGGAGCGGCCGACTCCTCCACCTGCAGCTGTGAAGTTTCACTATTTTCATATAAAACAACATTGCTTTCTCTGGGAAACAGAAATGCCGTCTCTTCAGAATCAACACTGTCTGCCTCAACAACAGGGACATGTTCAGAAATCTGTAACCCATCATCCTCCTTGTCCCAAGGAAACTCAGGCTCAGAAAGCTCAGGCTCAAAGTGAGCCACAACACCACCCAAACAGTTCAAAAACAGCAGTGAGCTTTGAGTAGAAAAATAGGGCACAGCCTAAGCGGGGAGGTATTGTATGGCACCATTAAAGGAATTCCAGAAAATGCTAGCAATCAAACAAAGGAGGAAGTCTCTGATCAAGGCTCTTCGCCATAGAGGATGGAGTGATAGCACCCCCCTGTGGCTGGAATCGAGCACAACATCCAGGACACCAAAGTTGGGGAAAATGCCGACATATACCTCTATCTGTCCTGTCTGTTTAGCGGCATTGAATGTTTGTCGTGTATGTGTTCTGTGATGCGCCCTGTCCCCTTCGGGGTGAAAAGGGTGGAATATAAATACTGTAAATAAATAAATAAATAAATAAATAGTTGTGCAGCGTTCCCTCACTTATCGTGGGTGTTATGTTCCAGGACCATCCGCGAAAAGTGAAAATCCGTGAAGTAGGAGTAAACATTATTTATTTTAATATTTATACAAAGTCGGACACGACTGGACTTAATGTCGGGGGAAAAACTTTACCTTATGAACAAAATCCTTCAGTCACTTTAGTTGAGCAGCAACTTTTAGAAAGTGCTCCCCAGTTGATGTCAATGGTCGAGTACCGCAAAAACCCGTGAAACAGCGAAAATACAGCGATAAATATTTTACATTAATATTTATTGAAAACCCGTGAAACAGCGAGTCTGCAAAAAGCGAATCGCGAAGTAGCAAGGGATTACTATATGTAAGAGCGTTAGAGTCCTGCAGGTCCAAACCAAGGACCTTATTCACCATCTTAAGACAGTTACTTGCATATCAGAAGCAGGTCGCAAGAAGACTCAACTCTTTCTCTTGCTGCCAGGCAAAAGCATCTATGGCGACCGTTTCCCCGACGAGAACTTCAAGCTGAAACACTATGGGCCTGGTTGGGTCAGCATGGCCAACGCCGGTAAAGACACCAACGGCTCTCAGTTCTTTGTCACTACTGTCAAGACCTCATGGCTGGACGGCAAGCATGTTGTGTTCGGGAAAGTCTTGGAAGGGATGGTGAGTATCATTTTTAAAAACATAACTCTCTGCCTGGCTGTGGCTGAGATCTTTCTTGACTTATAAGTGCTTACTTACCTTTGTTTCTATCTCACAATATCCTTATTCTTCGTCATCAGTAACTGTAGAGTTCCTATAGCAAGCATCATACACTTTAGCATATCTTTCTTCTCACTGCCAAACAATCCACAAGAGAAAGGCTTTTATTGGAAGACACTACCTTTCTCCTTTACCTCCATTCCCAACTTAAGTTTACTGGAAGGTGAAAGGAGGGGGGGAAGCATTTCCGGGATCTGTTTAAGAAATTATTACTTGAGCAAACTTTGGGAGACACAACTCTTCGGAAGGATCCAATGGAGCTGTCATTCATATAGCAATTTGCACAAAAAATTGCAAGCATTATTGATGATCTCCAGAGCAAACAGTTCTGTGGGATTATCATCTCATGAACTTTGCTTGTCACTGTGGTCCATGCGCTGGTTACATCTCATATAGACTACTGTAATGCACTCTACGTGGGGTTGCCTTTGAAGAATGTTCAGAAGCTTCAAGTAGTCCAGGGAGAGGCAGCCAGGTTAATAACTGAAGTGGCATACAGGAAGCACCCCCCCACCCCCCAATTGTGCCAGCTCCACTGGCTGCCGGTTTGCTACTGAGCACAATTCAAAGAGCTGGCTTTGGCCTATAAAGCTCTGAACGGCCCCAGCCCAAGTTACCTATCCGAACGCATCTCCCTCTACAAACCATCACGGAGGTTAAGATCCTCTGGGGTGGCCCTGCTCTCAGCCCCACCACCTTCATAGGTGCAACTGGTGGGGACTAGAGGCAGGGCCTTCTTAGTGGTGGCCCCTCAGCTACTTCCTCCCTAGTGGGATTCAATCGGACCCTTCCCTCCTGTCATTTGCAAACAAGTGGCTTTTGGAGCAAGCATTTGGCTCAGCATAATTATCTATGCAATACAGTTGGAATTGACCCTGGATTGATAAATATGATTATTTGGCTATCTGGCTTTAGATCTATGCACAATAGTCATCTATTGTTTATATATGTTTTAATGTTGTTTTACATTATTATTTAATTTGAATTGTTATTGTTGTTTGGGCATGGAATAATGCCAATTCTGCAAGTCTTTCCTGAGTCCCCTTCGGGGTGAGAAGGGTGGGAAATAAATGTTGTAAATAAATAAATAAGTAAATTTTCACTTGGGTCCATCTACCTCAAACTCTTGGGTATGCTGGCCTGGAGAAGTCAATGAGCCGGGTTGCCTCCCTTCTTAATGACTGCCACGTTTTCTTCCTAGGACGTAGTGCGGAAGGTAGAGAACACGAAGACCGACAGCCGGGATAAGCCCCTGAAAGATGTCATAATTGTCGACTGCAACACCATCGAAGTAGAGAAACCGTTTGCCATTGCCAAAGAATAGCTTTGTAGCAGCCAAACGGCCGAGGGATCTACCCTAGTTTGCAAAGGGCTGGGCGGGTGGGGTGGGCACACACTCACACCGAGGCCTCCATATCATCCTAACAGTGGCACGCAGCTGTTACTCTCTTTTCCCTCTCCTGCCAGAAGCTGGTAGTGGTGCGGGGGGGGGGGGCAGTGGTTATCTCCATTCCTGTTAATGAGCTCATTCCATCGGCCCCCACGGGCATCGTGGCCCCTCTCTGAGCAACTTGGGGAGGGCTGAGTATCGCATTCTCCTTTTTTTGTAAGAAAGCACATGGGCTAATAAACATGACCATTGTGTTTTTGTAGTACTGTCTGCCTCGTCTTGTTTTTTCCCCCCATGAACACCCCAAACAGGGCCATTCTTTGTCATGGTTTGTGTGTGTCGAACAGGTCAGAGTCACATCACTGACACACACAGTTAACTTGCAATACACGCTTGAGGCATTATCGAATGAAGGTACAAAGGGGAGGTCCATATATAAAACATGCATGTTTCATGCATGGACTTCTTTGGGTGAGATATGCCCAATGGACAACAAGCACGCAGTGGATCAAAGTAGACTCATTGTCAGGAGTCAATTTCTGACGGCATGAAGACATCACAAATTCCCTCCGTGACATCCTGACTGAATCATCCTGGCTGCCCCAATTCTCTCTCTGTGGCATTTTGAAGCTAGCAGAGGGCACTGGAAACCTTGCATTGGAACTTGTGAAGCAGCAACAAGCTCTAATAAGGAAACTGAGAAGAGGGGGGAGATGGGCAGGAAAGGGGTATAAAAGGAAGTGGTGGTGGGAAAAAGTCAGTAGTGTCTTTCTTTGCTGCAGAGATACAAGCAATATATCCATTTCAAAGCAAAACCAGCTTGTGAGTGGTCATTTAATATTGCTATATAGATCCTACAGTCTTCCATTCATAGAGTTGGCAGAGGCCACAAGAACCATCCAGTGTTAACCCCATGCCATGCAGGAATTCACAATAAAAGAAATGGAATAGTTACCAATGTGCTCTGCACATTACAATAGTTACTCTGTACATTGCAATTGCCTAAGAGTGTTTCAATCAATGACATTTACTGTATATATTCAAGTATAAGCCAGGTTTTTTAGCCCTTTTTTAGACTGAAAAAGCCCCCCTCGGTTTATACTTCAGTCAAGGTTATTTAATACTTCACTTTATTATTATTACTATTTTATTACATTTTTATTTTACTCTATTATAATTATTACTATTATTATTATTACTCGCTTTATTATTATTGGAAGGAGATGTAAGCACATTTACATTGGAGAAGGTTAGAATAATGGTTTAATCAGAGTTGAACAGTCTTAAATTACAGTTTTATGTAAATATTCAAAAATATTATTACTCTATTATTATTACATTTATTATTTCACTATTATTTTATTACATTTATTATTTTACTCTATTATTATTACATTTACATTATTTTACTCTATTATTACGTTTATTATTTCACTCTATTATTATTACATTTATTATTTTACTCTCATTATTATTGGAAGGAGACATAAGCACATTTACATTGAAGAAGGTTAGAATAATGGTTTAATCAGAATTGAATGGTCTTATCTTAAATTACAGTTTTATGTAACTATTCAAAAATATTTAACCTACTGATGCTGCAATTAATGTAATTTTATTGGTATCTATTTTTATTTTGAAATGCACCAGTAGCTGCTACATTTTCCACCCTCGGCTTATTCTCGAATCAATGCGTTTTCCCAGTTTTTTGTGGTAAAAACTGTGTCTCGGCTTATATGCGGGTCGGCTTATACTCAAGTATATATAGTACCAGTGATTCATAAACTTGCACTACTGTGGACTTCCAATATAAGAAATGCATGTTTGTTGTTTATTTGTTTAGTTGCTTCCATCTCTTTGTGACCTCCTAGACCAGCCCAGGCCAGAGCTCCCTGTCAGCCATCACCACCCCCAGCTCCTTCAGAATCAAGCCAGTCACTTCAAGGATGCCATCCATCCATTTTGCCCTTGGTCGGCCCCTAATTTCTTTGCATTCTGCATAAAGCAGTCAATAGATATTTCTGCCGGGAGTTATTTATGCTACGCTACACTGATGTAGGACCTCAGCTATATTTTGCTTGGTCCATTTATGGTCAGTGTTTTAACAGAAAATTTGGCACCAGTGGCACAAACTGCATGGAGATGAAACGCCTCGGTTCCTATACCATAAAAACAAAGAGCATTTAGACAGGAAACATTTTATTCAGGACAGATCCAACAATATGCTGATGTGAAACAAAACAATTTGTTCAGATAAAAGACAAAAACACTGTGAGCCTTCGCCATCTTCCAATGCGTATGCAGCACATCCAGGTAGACAAAACCACCAATCGTTACAAATAAAATGTTAGCGATTGTACTTTTATCAAGAGACTCCAGTCATTTTGCATTACAAAAATGACAAATAAAATGATTCATTCTCAATATATAAAAGAAGTTTTAAGCACATCATCTTGTCAAGCCTTTCACGAAATTTCTGACAGAAACGGAAACAAGTGTCTAGAATATTTAACAAAGGCAAATGAGCAGAAAATGACTCTTTTAAAGAGAAGCTCAAGAAGTGTGTGATAGCACAAACTTCCAATGCAATCTTGAGTCTTTGCTTAGAAAGGGCCTACAGGAAATCCCTTTCAGTGCAAGTGTGGCATATCAGTAGCATACACAGAGATGCCAATGTGCGTGCTTGAAAACCGAGCTCGGTCTACTGCAAGCTGGAACAACTGGGAGGTAGGCTTAAAGGGCTATGCTCTTTCATAGGCAAGGCTTTTCAAAACTGGAAAAAGGAAAAATGTTGACGTTATTTCAGGTTGAACCTCCTTCCAGGAATTTGAAATACTTCAAAAACTAAAATATCTTGCTGCTCCATCCCACCCCTGTCTTTGAGAAAAGGAGGAACAATTACACATTTGACCTTGGTCAAGTTTTCCTCAAGGAATTATATCTGCAAATGCCAAAATCCCCATGTACAGAAGTTGATTGTAAATGATATGATTATAACTGTATTTGTGTTTGCACTGGT